GTCTAAATAGTGTTCTATAGAGAGTGAATTTCTGACCCCGGCCTACCTAGGCAACAAAGTTGCCAGTGTTAACCTTACAACACATCAGTGATTCTACCACTGGAGGGAGTCTGGTCACATATCCTTTGATGTAACTTTCACTCTAGTAACTTTCTGGTCTTCCCTGGGAATGAATTAGAACTCTACCAAGAATATGAATTGGTTTAACACAATCTGATGGGTTTCAAATTTTTTATTTCTTTCAGTTTTTATTTTATTTTTATTTTGTTTCATACTCACTAATATCTCTATAGTCATATTTGGGTCAAAGAAATTAATCTACACGCTACATGTCCTAGTATATCTCTATCCTTGGAAAAAGTTAACAAAGAAAAACATTGTAAATTAAGAACAGAGAAGGGCTCTAAGGAAAATACCTAAACAAAGCAACCATCAAGGTTACAAGGCACATGAAAAATAGCGAACGGCAGATTTGAACTAGAAACTAAAAACAATTTTTAGGGCTAAGGTGATAAAGATATTACTGATAGGATGCTGAAGAGAAGTAAAAGATAAGAGTACTGTAACTGTGATTTCAAAATTTACTAGTCTTTAAAATTCAGAATTTACAGATTCTAGTAATTACTCATTAAGTTGAAGTGGTTTCCTAACTAAATAACATGTAACTGAAATTAAGAAAGACAACAAGGACCTAGACACTGGAAAAAAAAAGAAATTTTAAAAAGCAGTGGTTCAATTCAAGAAGTTATGTGGACAACATTCCATTCACAATAATAATTATTACTCTCTATTTTGTGTTAATATCAAGGCTGGTAAATTCTATGAAAGTAATACTTTATTTACTTATTTAAACAATCTTACAGAATTGGTATTATTATACCCACTTTACATAAGAAAGCTTGAGGCTAAAACAAGTTAAGTAATTTAAGGTTACACAGCATTCAAGAGCCAATATTCTAACAAGGGTGGTCTGATCTAAAATGGTATTATCACTATGCTATACTGCATGTCACTGAGACTGAGTAATGACCACCTTACATTCTTGTAATAAAGACTATTAAAGGTAACAGTTACGGGTACTCCTCTTAGATGTCTGCTTCAGAAAATGTCATTAAGGATTATCTAATATCACCGTGCTACTAAGCATTTGTTACTTTTATTTCCAAAGTTAAAATTTGTTTAATTCACATGCCAATAACATAAATGAGGTCTTAACTGACTCACAATTTAAATAAAGTTGATAAACTCAACATTCAAAGAAATTTATCTTTTTAAATATGTAAAAGAAATAAAATCTTTTTTTTCCTCCATTTTTTCCACATAAGTATTGTTAGAGACAAAGACAAGGAAATCTGTCAGCTTCTGTGTAATTTCTTTCCAATGTGTTTCCTTGTTGACTACATCATAAACCCTGTGGTTTATATCATATCTGGGCAGTCATAAAGTGCCCTACTCATAGAAATAATATTTGTTAAAGCTACAAGCCTTGAGGGTAGATTTAAATGTTTTAAAACAAATTAATTATGTATTTTCTTCCTTACTATAACAAAGCTGGAGGGAGCTTAGATACATGTAAGGCAACATGTAGATAAATCTTTCCTGTTTAACAAGGAAGAAAAAGCATATACATATATATATATATAAAATATACATTATATGTGTGTGTATATATATGATTAAAAGATGAAAAGCACAAGTAATATAAAATTCTGTGTGTGGGGTGGGAGCTGTTTTGTCTCGTCACAGGTCAGTGAAGGTCTGAAGTACCTATCAAACTGTAAATGGGCTCCCATATTATTAATGTTTCCAAGCAAGAAATTTTCTCTTTCATTTTATTTGAAAAGTCATAATAAAAGTACATCATGTATGCAATTTGAGTATACTTCAGCACAGCAGAGATGGAGAAACAAAAATACTCTTCTACTTGCAATAGGAATAGAAACCTCTAGATTTACAGTATATTTTCAGAGTAACACTCAGGCAAGGACCAGGTGCTGGCAAACAAAGTACACATGCCTAGGAAAGACTATCCATGAGGTTGTGTGTGTGTGTGTGTGTGTGTGTGTGTGTGTGTGTGTGTAACTGTCTTGCTTAACTGAAAAGCCAATTATATGACCATGTGGACTCTAACCCATATTCTTCAGAAACTATTAAATATTTTTAGAAACTATGAAAAAAATTGAATTATTATTGATAATGTAATCATCAATTCATAGGAAAATAGGCAAGTAACAGACAAAAACAAAAAAAAAACCCCAACGAAACATGAGAGAGATACACAGTTATGTTCACCAGCAAGCATAACTCTTGGTTGATACAGTATGAAAATATTATAAAATTAAAAACATATCTGATTGGAGAAGGTAAAAGAAAATTTACATTTAACAATCATACTATGCTTTCCCCTATTCTATTTTATTCCACTTCCAGGGAATTAATGTTTCTCTCATTTTCTTTCATCACCAAATTAACAGTAGATTCAAATAAAGTGAGAAAAGAGCAAACAAAACAAATGTATTCTATCATAAATTATGAAATATGGCTCTTATTAGGTACTTAAACACATAAATAGCTCTTCTGTCCCATATTCTGCCACATCCTTTTCTATGTTACATATTTATAGAAGTAAAATAATGAGACTTGAGAGGAAAGAAAGTGAAAGGAGGGAAGCAAAGGGAGTAGAAAGCATCAGCTGAAAATTTCTCAATGTAAAATGATGCTAAATAATGTCTGTTTGACAAATTTAATGCAACATTTCATACGTTGTTCTATTAAAAACAAACAACATTATTCCCCCTAAATTATTCATATGAAGCCAAGTTAGTATTTTTGGAATTGACATGTAAGATAGGATAACAAAATAAGTTAAGCATTTAACAACATCTCTAAACAAAGTATTTCCAAATTTTATACATCTTCTAGTAGAAGAGTTAGCTCTTTGTATTTGTTGGTATATGCTATTTTATAAAATAAAACCCTAGTTAATTAGTCTACGTTAAATTACTTGGAAGTCTGCAAATAGTAATTTTCATAGATGTTGCTTAGTGCCAGCACCCTCCCCAAAATTAAATGTTACATAATTTGTTCATTTTGCGGGATTCCTAATTTGAAAAGAAACAACTAAAAAATAATATCAGAATAAAATAGCTACTCCTCTAGGGGATCACAATAAACATAGCATTAATTTTTGCACTCTGTTAACTCTGTGAACTTCATAAAAAAGTTTAAATTTTCCCTAATATCTTTGAAACACGTGGTAAATGCAGTTTTAAGTATTGAAATTACTGGGTTCTGAAAAGCAACAATGAATGCCTAGTTCCAATGAGTACAAGAATGAGCTTTTGCTATATCATTGCAATAAATAAAAATGAAGTCTACTTTTATTATTCTTGTGTTTCTCTCAAACCAATCTAAGAAAATAAAAATATTTACAACTTGCAATGGTTAATTACAAAAAGTCATTTAATAAAAGTATAAACTAAAATCCAAATTACTTCCTATGTGTTATTAAAAATAATCTTTATAGTCTATAATTATGCAAGCTTACATATGGAATACCAAAATGATAAATTTTTTTAGATACCATAAATACGTGCACTTACTACCACGGTGACCAAAACAGTCTAAGAATAAAGGAAATACAAGCTGCCTTTGCAAGTGTATTTATTTATTCATATACTACACCTGTTTCAGAAATTAAAGTGGTTTTGGTTTCAAAAAGTTTGAATTCTGGTTTCAAAATTATTAAATATACACTTATATTAATAAATATAAAATTTATTAATAAACAAATTCGGTGCTCGGTGCTCGGTGCTCGCTTGATATAAACGTGCTGAATAGCAATGACCAACCAAGTGATTACCGTTTAAATGACTTTGGAAACAAGACCTCTGCTCCCTATTTGGATTACGCTGATAAATTTTATGACCTTACTGTGAGCGTATTAGCATCTGTACATAACTTTGGTTAAAGAAATGTTTTACAATCATTACCTTCATATACAGTTAAACATTAATTTCATTTATAGTTAAAAGTATTCGGGGCCCTCTTGACAACATGTGCACTGTGTTTCCTTTGTCAGATGTAGAATTTTACAGTCATTCGGCCAATCAATTACTAATCAGACGATTTCTTTACAAATGAAGTTTTGTTCCACATTACTGAAATAGCAGACTCTAACTAGTCCAACTAACCCAGAAGCGCTGTAACTAACCCCACTGCACACAGCACTAGCTTATGTCTTCAACGCTCAGACCTGTATTCAATCAATTTCCTTCTACAGGAGCCTGTCAACTTCAACAACAGAATAAACGATATAATATCAACACGCAATGGTACGTACCCGCCACATAGTCTGAATCACAGCACATATATTAGGCCAATATTTTCGACAGTCTGACTCAGAGCCCAAGAACCACGAAGATTGTGTCTGTCCTTGGTGCTGAAATGCACCGTTTTTCTGCGCCCTCACTGAAAAACTGTCATCCTAATCCCAATCCAAGAGTCTAAAAAGACTTGTTAATGTGAAGAGTCTGACGATGGGAGGTTTAAAAAAGAAAATGATAAGTTTCTGGAAGAGAATGCTAACTAGTGTGTGTGTGCTGGGGGAAGGGGGTTGCTAGAAACATCCCGAGGGCATTTCCCCTTCAGTGCACGGCGACCCAGGAAATTCGGACTGCGGCAAAGATCGGAAACGCCTCGTCGGGGCAGGAGCCGCGAGCGGGAACGTCGCCCTCGTCCGGGCCAGGCGGGCGAATTGGCGAAGGGCGCCACGGTTGTGGACGGCGACTTTCCGCGCCAAGGCGCGAGCCCCTGGGTCCTTTTGTTTCTGGGGTGAGGGGAGGGCTGTGGGCGGAGGGTAGCCCATATCTGCATTTATTTGCACAGAAGGGACAACAAAAGCCCCTGCCGCCCTGGAGAGCGGCGTCGGCGGAGCCAGAGTGGCCCCGGCGCCTCGGCGCGGACTCGGTCCCTTTGCTCGCGGTCCCGGCCGCTCTTACCGTCCCGGTCGCACAGCTGAATGGCCTCCAGGCTGAGGTTTTTGATCACCTCCTCACAGGGGCTGGTGGGGCTGTTGAGGGCATGATCCAGGCGCGGAACCTCCATTTTTCCAACCCCCTTCTGAAGCCCGCCTGCTTCGTATCCAGGCTCTCTCTGCCGGCCGGGGGGGCAAGAAGGGCGGGAAAGGGAGGGGGAGTGGCAGAGGGAGGGAAGGAGGTCTGGGACGCGGTGATGCGGCGCCGAGGCTGAGGCGCCGGGCTGGAGAGCCGCCGCGAAGGCGACGGCTGTGGCAGAAGATCCGGGGAGTGTGCGGCTCTGAGAGACCAAGCAGGACCTGGCGCGAGGACTGGAGGCGCGCGCTCCCGGCGGGGAGGGGACGCAGCGCGCGGGGAACGTGAGGGAGAGGGCCCGACGCGCGCACGCGCGAGGGAGAACGCGCCCACCTGCTGGCGCGCGACGGCCCCTCCCCCGCCCTTCTGCGCGCACGCGCCCCCACCTGCCCTCGAGCCACCAGCAAGGCAACCTCGCTCGTGAGGCGTCGGGCGACCAAGCGCGCGGGAACGGTGGGCGCTGTACGCCGCCCGGCTGCCTTTCCCTCTCTCCTAGTTATAGCCATTTGGCGTCTTCTGTCTGCTCTTGGTGCGTGGCGAAGCCCGAGTTGGCCCTGAGGCGTCCGCACGGGGAGGCGAGGGCGAGCATATTGGCTGTTTATGAAGAATTGGAAAAATAAGGGCCCGGACTCTTCGGACTCTCTGTACGGTATTGGGGTGTGGGAGCCACCTCCTCCCCCGAAGGTCCCAGGATACTCGCTGCCCGAACCCTGCGGGCTCGGCCGGACATTCCTCGAAAATAGCTGCGTCTGTGTGAGAAATGAGCGGATTACCTGAGGCGTGGGGGGGTTTAGAGACAGCATTTTGCTGGTCCCCGACCCTGAGGCCGGGCAAACGTGGAACTCCTTATTGCCAGAAAGGTGAGGGAATGAGGAGATGCCGCAAGCCTGCTGAAAAGGCGGCGGGGCCAACAGCCACGGGACCAACAGCCACGCAGCCTGCCTTCGCCGTGTAGCTTCATTCATTCATGCACGTAGCAAATAAGTATTCAATGCTCACCCTATGCCATTGTTCTGGGCGTCAATAAAGGGAGGATAAACAGCGCCTGCTCCCATTGATTTGGAAGGGATATTTGCTACAACAGCTAATGAAGATTGACTTGTGCTTCCTCAAGCTACCCTAAATTTGTATGCCCGTTGCTTTTAATTGCATTTAAGATTCTGCAGCGTACTTAGTGGATGTGCAAACGTTTTAAAAATAAAATAGAGGTCACAGCCTATTGACCTCTGTTCCCATTTGCTTCTTTGGAATAGTTTTTAGTTTGGTTGCTATCTCGGGATCAAAAATAGTGTCCCCTCTTTTCTTAATGTGCTTGTAAAGTAATGTAAGTTCCCTTTTATTGATTTTCCATTTCACACATAAATGTTAACCAACAAGTAACAGTTTACACATAGATGTCTGTATGCTACTCTTTTTAGTCACATCCGTGTAGCCATAACATGATGAAGTCTAGTTAATTGAAGCTTCAATAAATGGAAGGACCAGCTTAAAGTAAAATAAACCTGTGAAAAATCTTGGCACAATTGAAATTTCATAAATACCTGTGAAAGATAATTAGGCATCTTACAGTGAAAAGTCTTCATTGTGAACTTATTAATGAAGATGGATGTTTTCAAAGTTTGAAAGAATTCTTGTTTTAAGGTAGGGGTGTCCCCAAGGAGAGGGTAAATTATTACCTGTCAAAGGATATGACAAGAGAGTACTTATTGGTGAATTTTCTGTGTTCGAAAGCCTGGCTCTGTAGGACTAGAAATTGGTATTGTAAGCCCAAGAGTGGGTTCATTTTTTAGAGTAGTCTTAAATTTATAAATCTCAAAAAAGGAACTGTGTAAATTAGAATAACAATTTATTGATTTACAAGTAAGAAATACGACATGCATTTAATAAAAACTCATGTAAATATTTATTAAGTACCTATGTCCAGGACACTGTGCTATGTGTTGGAAATTTGGGTTTCAAATTTACAAAGAAAGATATATATTGAAAAAGTAAAAGTAGGATGGGTGTTAAGAAAGAGGAAGTATGGGAGCTTGTAGAAGCATACACAAGGTTTATAACCTAGACTAGATGATCAGGAAGATCTCCAAAATGATTTTATCTTAAGGGAATGAGAAATTATTAAAAGGCTTTAAATAGGAAATTAGCATGATCAGATTTGTTGGCTAGAATATTTGCGTAATAAGAAAGGGTAATGTTTCAAGAAGTGTATTAATGTCACTTTCTGGGTATACAACCTAGTCAGTCCAAAGCACCTGTCTGCTGAGGATTTGGATTCTTGTATAAAAAATACAAAAGAAATATTTACTATTTAACTTTTGATATTCAATATAGGATTTTTAAAATTGAGTTTTTAAGCTTAAAATCAAGTCATTGTCAAGACATAAAATGTAAATTTGTTTATGGTTCAACATACTAAGGCTAGGCCTGGTGGACGAAATGATAGGGTTTCTCCCATAGTGAAGACAAGGTATCTTAGTCCACTATGAAGGATTTAGCCAGAGATTGATATAAGGAAGGTGGTGGCTATGAAGTAGGTAAAGTAGAAGAAAATCCTATTCTCTTTGGGTTGGAGAATTATGGGAAAGGGGTAGAAGATATCAAGAAAGGCAACCAGAAACATTTTTACTATTCCCACCCTGAAGATATAGGGTGACTTTAGAAATATCCAGGTTGGTGTGGGAAAACTCAAGGAAAGAGAAATTACTTTCCCAATTATTAGATATCTGGGAAGATATCAGGCTGAATAGGGACCATATTCCAGTAACCTTGAACAGGGCAGAGACAGGGTAGGCATTGACTTTCCAGAGTGCTGTAAGTTTCTATATAGTGTTGAGACCCAGAAAACAAGAAAAAAAAAAAAAAAGGCCTCTGTAGTAAAAGTTTTTCCTCTCATCTTCTGACCTCCAGCCTCTGAGTCTCATTTTCCCCTGAGGCTAGCTATAAGAAACTAGAATCCCTGTTCCCCAAGATTGGTTATAGAAACCCCAACTCCTTTTCCCCAAAGCCAGCAATAAAATCTAAAAATATTCCTCTAACTTTTCTTCTGCTTTTCTGTGTAAAAACTGGCCATAAAGAAATTATCTTACCTACCTTGTTTAACTGAAGGTCATAAGATCCTCATTCCAGAGAGGGCCCTGCCACATAGCCAAAAGGAAGAAGTGCATGCTCAGAGAGGTCAAGAAGAATCTAGACAGACAGGCCTTTCTGGGTTTCCCTATTCGATCTATTAGTATGAGGTCATATTCCTTTTGTCCAGTCATATTTCTTCATGACTCTTCATACCTTGTTGAACCTAAGAATTAAAATGGTCAGTTTTTCCTGTGTCTTTGGGTCTTCATTCTGAAGGCTCCCCTCTGTTGGAAATGTGGTGTTCAAATTTCATGTAAAACTATAATCAAGTAATTTTGTATGCCTTTTCTCCTATTAATCTGCCTCTTGTCAGTAATTTTCAGCTAACCTTCAGAGGACTAAGGGGGAAGTGTTCCCTTGGTTCCAGTAGTACTCAGAAGGTGGTTGAGTTGAGAACTATTCAATCTTCCCTGAAGTTTTGTGTTAAAAGAGCAAGGTGACCCTTTAGCAAAGAATAAAGGTTTAGAGTGGACCTTCTAAACCAGGGGTGTCTGAAGTACCAAGGAGATGAGACCCATCCATCAGAGATGGCTGCCAGACCCTGAAGCACAGACCATGAGTTTCTCTAGCTACCAACTTCAAGTGAAAGACCTGAAGCAACTAGGCATATGAGGAATGTCACCTCAGAGCCCAGAGGAGGCTGAAGGAATTGTTCAAACCCAATGACCCTTTGTCCCAATGCCTCAAGTAATGGTATCTAGGGCTATCTGATATTTCCATATACTATCTAAAACAGGATGTAAGGAAAAGGTGGAAATCTTAGAGACCAAGGGTCTTAACCTAATGAAACTGAACTTTAAGGAACTGCTTAAAATACCAAAGGAACCCAAGTTTCTAGGTTAGAATAAAAACACATTATTTCCCCTCCCCTGTTTGTCAGTGACTGAGATTTCATTAGACAAAATGAAAATTCTATGTTTTTATACCTAAATTGCAGCGTAGTTGCAATCCTCATACACTCAACATCACTTAATCATTATCTTGAGATGTCCGCTATTGCAATCAAAATCCTACCAATCATTCAAGCCCCAACTCATATGCTACATTCTTTTGAAATGATTCCCTCTGCCAAAAACCTTTATGTTGTATTTCTGTGGGGCTTTATAGTTCTCTTACAGACATCATGTTATGATGTATAAGTTATTAATGTACATGAAGAATCAGAATCAAATTTTAGGGCCTTAAATATATATAATTCAATACTTTATCCAGTGTTAAGCCCTTGACAAGAAGTTATTTATTTCCTAATAAATATTAAATTTAAATCCTCATGAAGTTATCCAAAGTCTTTCTCATTCTGAGCCCAAACATATCTCCTATAAGAGCACTATAAAGGCCTTAATTTTCCCATTTGTTTGTGATACAGAATAATAATCCTTCCTATTATATATTCAAATATCTGCCTAAATACAGTTTTTGCAAACTTTTGTGATATCCCATTTTTTTGAGTCCCTCTGTCACTCTACACACTCTCCTCTAGATAGCTCCAATTTTTCTGAGTCCATAGGTAAACACACCAGGTGTGGAAATATAATAAGAATATAAAAGAAAATACAGTAGAGTAACACCATCTTTGTTGTGTGTGCCAGACATCTTGTAATGCAGCCCAGGAGCACATTAGTTTTTTTGACAGTAATATCACTCTGCTCACATATCCTAAACTTGCAAACACATAAAAATCCTATACTTCTTCTGTGAACATTTCTTATTTCTCCTGTGATATTGTAAATTTTAAGCACATATTCCAGTATTTGCGAACAGAAGATACTTAGGACAATTTGCGGAATTATTTTAGTGAACTCTGATACTTCGAATGTATTTAGTTATATTGCTCCAGCTAGCCTAGGATTTTATCAAAGTAGGCTACACAGTCCTTTTGGTAGGCTAGTCCATAGGTCTATCTTATTCATAATAAAATGATGCACAACCCCAGGCACAACCAAGGATTTTAGGACTATGCAGAGGGTGCCAAGAACCAACACCAGATAGAAACAAACTCCACAAAATGCATAATAAATGAGTGCTTCTTATTTTCTCTCATAACACTATGGAAACTTTTCCTAAGCCCTATTGTAAATGCAAAGGCAAAGGAAAACTTATAATCAACAGAAACAGTTGAAAGCAATCCAAATATTCTAAATTATTTGTCCTGACTCAAGAAGTGTTAGGACTTGTGAAGATCAAGTG